TTTGGTGAGTTCAATTATTACAGCTGCTTTCTCAAATTCTTGCCTCTGGGCGGCCAACTGTGGTTCAAAACAGCAAGTGGCAGCAGCAAAGATGAGAATAATCCTGAAGAAACGGCATCAAAAGTAAACAAGTTCCAAAATGGAGAGAAAGCTCAAATCATGGAGGTTTTAGAAATTTTACCTCAAAACAAGGGTCCACAATGGAGAAATGAATGGTGTCTCATTGGTGACTGGAGAAAAGGTGGAATTACAAAATGCCGGAAGGCAAACCTTGAGAAGTACATATAAAGTTCAAATTCCATGAGGGGAAAAAGAAAAATGGCTTCATTTCAGTATTCAGTAGGGAATACAGCTCAGGAAATATGAGCAGGAATTTTGAAGACAATGTAAGGCAACTGCGCTAAAGAAAATACCAATTTTCTTCTAGCCAAAAGAGCTGAAAACTCCCATGGTTTGAAGAGATTAGTCTGCAAGAACAACAAAGAGATTGATCTAAATCAGCTTAGCTGGCTCAGGAATTATGGGAGTTGAAGTCCACGAGTCATAAAAGAGCCAAGGTTGACTACCCCTGATCTAAATTAATGAAATAAAGAAATGGGATAATAGAGTTAAGAAGCAATTTAAAAAGAATGCAATTAGCATCTCTCTATTGCCAATAGCCTGGTCCTTTTCAGCAAATTTTTCTCAGTCTTTAATACACTTGAATTTTAAAAAAGTCTTATAAATAACCATACCAGTAATATTTAATTTTATTTAAATCCAAAATTAATTTTACTCAAATGTAATTAGAATCCAATTAACTTTAAATAAATCCAATTTATTTAAATTGAATTTAGACATTTCCTTATTCTTATCGTATCATAGAAAGGCAAAATCACAATAGCATTTAAATTTATATACCGCTTCATAGTGCTTTACTGCAGGGCTTTTCAACCTTTTCACCCATTGTACCACTTTTAGGCTATGACAATATCCGAGTACCACCAGTCGCCTAGCAAGGTGTCAAAAACATGATGACCAAAAAAAAAAAAAAAAAGGAAAAAAGTGATAAAGTACAGGTAGTCCTTGACTTGTTCACTTAGTGACTGTTCGAAGTTACAATGGCACTGAAAAAGTGCCCCCCAAGCCACAGCTGAGCAAGACACCTGCCTGCCCGCCCGGCGGCGCTCTTCCTCCTGTCCGAGGTTTTCATTGTTGTTAGCATTTCTGTTGAGGATTGGCAGTGGGGGTTAGGGGGTATTTGGTTTTTATTCCCCCCATCTGCTGGGTGGTTGCAGCAGGTTTTGGTCACTTCACATGACCCTGGGACACTGTGACCGTCATAAATATGAATCAGTTGCCAAGCATCTGAATATAAATCACAAGACCCTGGAGATGCTGCAACATTCCAGCTGATCGGCGCTTCTTCTGGGATCAGCAGAAGCGCCAGGATCAGTGCTGCTTTCCAGCTGATTGGTGCGTCTCCAGGGCTCAGCAGAAGCACAAGGATCAGCACCGAGCTCCAGCTGGAGCCTGGCGCTGATCCTTGCACTTCCGCTGAGCCCTGACAGCACTGCAGCTCCAGCCGTCTCTCGCTTAGGCTTGTGTGGTGATACCATCTGTTCAGCTCATTGCCCTCCCCCGCTATCACTTTTCTAGGATGGTTGCGTACCAACTGCCAGGTGCCAATGTACCACAGGTGGTACCTGTACCACTGGTTGAAAAGCCCTGTTCTAGATGCAGCAATCGGGCGTCTCACTGGAGCCTTCCAAAGACAAGCAGGGACGTAAAAGGTAGAACAGCCAGAAAAAGGGCTCGGTCCAGACACTTGGCCCAATACCAGAATAGAAATACTGAGGCAACAGCAAGAAGTATCAAATAACCACTAATAAAGTTGTGGGGGGGTTCACCTAAAAAAATGGCTGAAGAATAATGTGATAATTGTGTTTGATGTTTTGGAATATTTGAAAGAATATAATGGAAAACAATCAGGAATATTTCTACATGCAGAGAAGGCCTTTGACTATTGGAACTTAGCAAGATCCTAATTTTCTTCCTGGAGACAATGCAGTGCGTCCGGAGCTTTGATTTCTTCCCTGCCTGGCCCGTACATGCACAGGGGGAGGGGCGCAGGAGAACATGGGACCATGAATGCCCCCATTTCCACGATTCCGAACCTGATGAAGTTTTACATGTCTCCAAGCACGGTCAAGCCCACTTACCGAACTCCGGAGTCAGGTTTTGATCTCCATCCGTGCAAGGGTCCCTTGCACCCTCTTGGACTCCTGGGAAGGCTCAGCCTAAGGCTCGCAGTGAGGGGGGAGGTCGAGGGAGACCAGAATTGGACTCTGTAGGAAGGGCAAACGCACTTTCAGCCTTTTCAGCAAAATGCTATGCGCCTCTATCAACCTGATGAAAGAGTGCATGCTCAGTTCCCTTCTGAAGCGGGGGCGGGTGAGTGCTACCCTGCCTTCCAAACGGCTACCCCAGGAGCCCCCTGGTGGATCCTGCACGCAATGCTAGATGGACTCTGTAAGTGCGTAGGGGAGATCAACATGTTCCATGTGGGCCTGGGATGATGAGATGGAGAGTCCCTCTAACATTGTCGGTGTCCAGCAGGGAGCAATTTCTAGACTTTCCTTTTTTTTATTGTCGAAGAATGATCTGCGATCTTGTGAATATTGAGAAAATCTCTGTGGAGGCTCAAAAGAAACAGGAGCCTCTCTTTGAAGCCCAGGTTGTGTGATGTGGTTGTTGGCAAACTCAGCTCTTTTCAAATTCATGCCTCTGGGCAGCTAACAGTGGTTGAAAACAGCAAGTGGCAGCAGCAAAAATGAGAATAATCCTGAAGAAATTATCTTGCCTGAAAAAAGAGGCATCAAAAGAAAACAAGTTCCAAAATGGAGAGAAAGCTCAAACTCATGGAAGGTTTAGAAATTTTACCTCAAAAGAAGGGGCCATGATGGAGAAATGAATGGGAGAATGGTGTCTCATAGGGCAGGGCTTTTCAACCAGTGGTACGTGTAACACCAGTGGTACTTTGCCACCTGGCAGGTGGTACGTGACCGTCCTAGAGAACTGGTAGCGGAGGGGGAGAGGAATGAGCTGAAGCAGCAGCAGTGCTGCACAAGCCTGAGGGAGAGACAGACGGAGATGCAGGGCTGTCGGGGCTCAGCAGAAGCCTCAGGACCAGTGCTGGGCTCCAGCTCTTCAGCGCTTCCAGGAGCTGGAGGTGGCCTGAAGAGAAAAGGAGGAGGAGGGGGGAAAGAGAGCGTATAAAATGAGGTTTTGGTGGGAAAGGGCCAGCGAGCGAGTGCCCCATCCTGTCCCTGGGCACATGAAGAGGTAGCGAGCGCCCAGTATCACTGCTGACCGTCCCTGCAGATCAATGAGAAAGGAAAAAGGTAGGAGAAGCGCTTCCATTTCCCCCTGGAAGCCAGCACTCGCACGCTCGCCACCTTCTCCGTGCACCCCCAGGGTCCTGGGCAGAGACGGCAGGGGAGGCCCTCACTAGCTCCAGGGCGGCCCTGTGGATCTTAGTGCATTCTGGCTTTGATGGCCCCCGCCAGGAGATCAGCACCACGCCTGCTCGCTGACCTCGCCTCGCAGCCACTAGGCTTCCCTTTCACCGGGACTGCCCCTGCCTATATGTGATAGCGACAGCTGGCAGAAGCATGGCCACCGGCAGTGCTAGCAATCTC